TATTTAAAGAATAAAATAAGAAAAGAACAAATCTTACATTTTCATAAAATGTTCGTCTTTAATAGATTCAACGAAGAGCTCACTGTACATTTATATCGTGTTGTACCAACTTCGTGAACTAAAATCACATTAATTAGAGAACAGCCATTTGCATTTTTTATGCTAGTTTAAAGTATACGAGTTGTACAAGATACTGATCTATTTCTTAGAAAAGGATCTCTTTTTGTTTTTGAGATATATAGCTGTGAATATCAGTGATTATCGTTTGAAAAAGCAGTTTCGAAATATAATTTAGTACAAACATTAAAACTATCAAAACCTAGATACAGGTTTAACTTCGTCGTTATTCCTCTTTAACAGTTTGTAAAATCAGTATAATAAAACGAGTTAGTGCATGTGTAAATACGTGATGCTCTGTTGTATAACACTAAGACTGACTTTTTACTCACATATACATCAAGGCTGCTTATTCAAAATTTGGAGGCAAATTATAATTAGAAAGTCATTGAAAAGCCTTTTTTGAAACGATAATCACCGATATTCACAGGGATATATCTCAAAAACAAAAAGTGATCCTTTTCTAAGAAATTGATTGTAAGTATATAAATTACAAAATATTATATACAGAATATGTACATTAAGTGTAATTTGTTAATTTAGAAGAAAATGGGCTAGCTATAAGACAAGTATAACTAGATTATGTTATCATATATAATTCAGACAAAATTTTTCTCAAATAGATCAGGCTCTTATAAGTGATCAGTTTTACGTCCGGTCTCAATAAATGAAACTTTTAGATACTTATAATTCGGAACATTGATACATTTTTCAGAAAAAGGTTTCTTCTACTTTTTAAGAAATAGAGCTGTAAATCAATATCAAAGATAAAAGTTAGTAAAATGGATCCGTTTCCATTTAATTATAATGATTTCACTGGAAAACATAAATGTAGAACTTGGGCTTCTCTGACTATGATGTTCCGAAAAGTGATCACGAAAGTTATGTTGGTCATTCCAAATTCGTGCAATTTTTAAAATTAAACTGGAATCCACACATTTTACTAACTTTAGTCTGTGATGTTGAGATTTCTATATCTTAAAAACTAAAAGAGACCTTTTTCCAAAAAATAGCTTGGCATAGAGTACAACTTGTGTACTTCAAACTGCCAGAAAAACTGGAGAAGCGTACTTTCAAATTTGTTAACTTTTTACTTTAGGAAGTTGCCAGAATAAACACTAATTTCATGGTGAAGAGACTCTTTCTTTTGGATAAAACGATAAAATTTGTTCTCTTCTCCATTTCTTGCTTTATATCTGTGTCTCTGTAGTATGCATAGAAAGAAGAAAACATCAAAGTTTCATCTGGCTGAACTAGTGCGTGGATTATATAGAAGTGAAAATGGATCCCCTATGGTTAATTTAATTATTATTCTGGAAGTTGGCAGAATACAGGATGCAGAATTAAGACTACCATGACCCGAAGAGAAAGGCGGAAAGTCATGCTAGTCAAGAACTCCTTAACAAATGATTTCGCTTGTTAATTGGCAGAGAAAGTACATCTATGTCTCATATTCAGCTCCGTTATTGGCAGCCCTGTATCTCATAAAGTAGACTGTACCCTTTTCTAAAAAATGGCTCGACGTATAGTATATATTGTGTACTTCAAACTGACATAGAAAACGAAGAGGTGTACATTCTAGTTAGTTTTATTTTAATCTGTTAATTTCACAGAATATAGAGTAATTTCATAGTGAGTGCAGTGAACATTTGGATCAAAAGAAAAAAAATTTCAAACTCAGAAGCAATATCTATCATATATCTCATATATCAACATCATATCGTTCTTTTCCGTTCTCTTCTTCTATTTTAGGAAAAAAAATCTCTGGTGCAAAAATCTCTAGTGGCGAAAGCACACTTGTTCAATTACTCGACGACACGTTCAAAGCAACTGCTGTTCAATTTAAAAACTACTTTATCTCTTGTTTCCTCTCACAAAGCGATGGACTTCAATATCAATTGACTATTGAAAAATGTCGAGTAATCGAAAACAGATCGCCGCAGACAATGTTCATTCGACCACGATTCATACCGATCATGCACAATATTCACGCACTTGAAGCAGGTCTGAAATATCATGCAGATGTTGGTTATGAAGAATTCGGACGATTTCTTCATTATAATAAAGGGGACGTTGCTTACTCCTCGCCAAAAAATGCGACGTTTGATCAATCAATGGATAAATATGTAGTACAATTGAAGAAACGCATCATCAGGAACATATGAAATTTTATGATACGTTATGAGAGGCGGAAGAGAAACCGAGAAACTGCAATTATGCTACTATAACGCCAAAAGTGCTCTCTCCGGGCGAATTCATATGTCTTTATAGTTACTTTCTTGTCTGGTACACGAGAATTATGCATTTATTTACGTCCTACAGTGTCTAGCTTCAGAGTTTGAAAATCACAGGTCTCTATCGCCTTTTGTTCTCGAGCTATTTAAAAAATAACCATTACCACTATTTTCTTTTTCAGACAACAGTTGAAGCATCTCAGGCCGACTTTTCGAGAGGAATGGATTAACGGTCTCAGAAGTTTATGGAAGTATGTCCTTTACGAGGAAACCATGTATTTTTGTTTTGCATATTGTCCAATTCAGTATAACACATTAATACCTAATGTATTGCACCGCCTTTCATTTTATTATCTCACCGCAATGAGATAGAAAAGAATGATGCTTTGTAATCTATTAGACATTAACTCGTTACAATACGATATACATTATCTAATGAGTTATAACACTACACAAGATTTTTTCGAATTTATGGCGTTGTAATTAGCTAAAACATCTAAGATATTATAAACCATTAATTTCTGACGCATTGTACTGAACCAGAAAGCTCAAAATGCGTTAAAACACATTAGAATCTAACATATTATAAGGCGGTAGACAAATCTATTGAGTTGTAATGAAATAAAAGATTTACAATGATTTACATAACATCTATTTCTTTCCCATCTTCAATTGCATCTTCAAAATTTGTTCTCTATCTATCAGACGACGATTACATTCATTTTCTTCAACTATCAAAATTTCATGTAAGGCATTCATAGCAATATCAAAAAGTATTTCTTCGCAGGCATATTTGACGCAGTACACGAAACGCCTTGATTTCGATGAAATAATATCACAGCGTTTGTTCACACAAAGAAAATGATTAAGGCACATATTTGTTTTATTCTCAAAATTTTATCTTTAGAAATGCAACAATGCATAGTGAATACAAATGATATTATCGAAGTATATTTTAAATACTCCGGTGGTAAGGGAACGGTTTCGAAACATAATCTTCTGGTTCGACTTTTCCTGCTGAATCTAATGAAAAAAAGCATTTCCAGTTTAGACCAACTAGGAAAGAAAAATTTGAAATTTTCCGGGAAAAGGGCGATTTTTCCGGATCCACTCCGTTTTCAGTATTTGGGAGTTTTCTACCAGGCGAAAGCGTTTCTTCTCAACAAATTTTACATATTCGAAATCAGCGTCAAAAACTACGTCGAATGGTGTATGATTTGTCAAGGAAAAAAATTTTAACTCGATCTTTGAATTGTGGGCACCTTATTTCGGGTCAGCCGGATCTCTGAAAGTAAAATCGTCTTATCTCAGCCTGGAGATGTGCTAGAAGGCTCGAGGACGTCTCATTTTGCTCAGAATTTGATGCGCTGTCCATATGATGCGCTTGGGTCAAAAAAGATTTCCAAAAGGCTCTTGAAAGTTTCTCGGAGTTCTGGTTTTTTGGAAGACCTACTTGGAAAACTCCAAACCTCTCAAACGCATTTCTATTTGCTATAGATCATTCCTTTAGTACTTGTACACGTCTGTCTCATTTACTTTATTCTCATCTTATTATACTCTTTTCTTTTGCTTCATATTTTATTGTACTGTATAAGAGTCTGTAGCATATATGATTACACTTTGCCACTTTACTAATGTAGAAAATAAATGGTTTAAAAAAAAGAAAAGAGAATCAACTTTTTATTAGTCATCGGAAAAAAACAAAGAAATATCGAAGTAAGGTGCCGCTAATGCAAAAATCAAGCGTACGACAGCATAGAACGAAAGAAAGAGAAAAGATGAGAGAAATGTCCAACGATAAATGAATCATATTATAATACTATCAGAGAAATTTACTAAAGAATGATATAATCTACCAGTCTTGTATAAAGATTGGTAACTCACGGTAGTTTAGAGAAGTAAAAGATTTCGGAGCGAACTTTGGTGATTTTTCGATGGCTTTTGCGAACGATATGGACGAGCTTTATGGTGCTCTCTCTTTCAATGATGACGAAGAGGCACAAAAGAAAGAAGTTCCGGTATACACCGGAAGTGAACTTGCTGAAATAAGTCCAAATGACATGATCATTTATGATATTAAGAATGAACAACTGGTACATGATCAGACCGTTGCATTGCAGACATCGATGATATTTTGCGAACAGATTGTTATGGCTGCCTATAAAGTAGCTGAATATGTTCTTGATTTAAGCAACAGTAAATATGCGGTCTTTTGGAAAGAACAAGTGAGTATAATCACCATTAAAACTCTACATTGCAAAACTGTCTTCCGTTGATTATTTGGGAGCAGTTTAGTATAGGCCCCCACTAAACATAAAATGTATCTCCCACTCGCCAACCTTCACCCTCACCTCGGTTTGATGACAAAACCTAAAAGGATGAGGGTGTACAGTGAGGTTTTGCCATGAGGACAGGGTGAGAGTGAGGATGTAGAGAGGGGACATGAACTTTAGGTTTAGTGGGAACCTACTGCGCCCAATTTCTTGAGCAAGATACAATGAGAACCGAACAAATTCGAACAGGGCAGATTTTCATATGAGCGGAGCTAATATAGGTATGTACCAGTCCCAGTAGCAACAAGGCGACTGGATACCAGTCCGACTCATTCGCCTGGGTGTAGATTGAGGGTATTTACATTAATATTCACTTATTCTTGTTCTGTGACTCCTAAGTACCATCCATGTTAGACACATATCTGACTCAGTCTTTGACTGAAAACTGGTGAACTGGGTATCCAGTCGGGCTGGACTGGACTGATGCACACCTAAGCTAATGTATGAACATTGAAATGAAGGCAAATTTACGATATTTTTATCGGAGTGTCGATCTTTTATAAGTCAGAATAATCAATAAAAGCGAAGCTTATGCCTATGTAATAAAATTTAACGCCTTCTACTCTACTCAAAATAACTATTTTATAAGAGCAATCAGTGAAGATCATTCTGTTCAACCATGATTATTGTGAAAGATTCTTCAACAAGTTTCATTTCTCATTGGCAGGTCATTCCTAATTTGGTTCAAAGTCTGACGCAAGATGTCCGAGCTCGATCTATTATTGTACGATCTCTCTCAGCAATTCAAGGTCTTGGAATTCATATTCAAAAAGCTGGAGAAATTGTTAAACAAAGCAGAGGTATGAATATACTGTCTAGAATATGAAGATTACACTCCTATTTGTCTAGGATCTCCAAGGGCTATTGAAATTGCACAAAAAAATATCACAGCGGCTTTGAAAACATTAGATCAATGTATTGAATTGGCTTCGACCTTGGAAAATTCTGCTATACAAACCTTTGCCAGTCAAACTAAAACATTATTCGAAATCATCGGTTCTGAAGCAGTACAATTTATTAAAGAGAAAGCTGAAATTCAATATCAATTGAAAGAACTTTACGATCAGCAACAAAAGCTCTATGCAGAACTTGGTCCAAAACAAGGTTTGTCAACTTCTTTCTTTTCAATAGAAAGCTTTGATAAATTACGACAGTAGATATGACTTAAGACTAGTTAGGTTGCATTAATCTTAAATCAAGCCTTGTTTTCTTGTATTATATAGATAGCGGTCAAAGCTGTTTGTTTGAATTAACTAATGGAGATTATCCTAACCTTTCGAAGTTAAATGAATTATGAATGAAGACCAATTCTTCAGAAACTATGATGCCATAGAGGTTTAATAAACGCATTTCTTTTCTAGGAGAAGTCAAACGTGTACATCATCTGATTAGTGCAACTGAAAAGCAGCTCACTAGTACAGCCCAAACACTAACAGAAACTAAACGACGAACGGACGCACTGAATCAAATGAATGCTGACGTCGAACAAACTATCAAATCTATTCCAGTACCAACTCCACAAACTGTCACCACAACGACGCATCAAAGCAATGGAATATGGTGGTTCTGGTGGCGACGATCCAGTTCGTGTACTACGACAAATACTGTTATGGTAAGTAATATTTACTATATAGTTCATCCTCATTATTTCGTGGATGTTTTCTGTATAGGTTCAAAATCCTAATCGAGAAGGAGAGAAAAATTACTACGAAAGTATCGTGTTATCACGTATGGCACGCATACGAGAAAATCAAAATGATGAAGCTGCAAAACAGCGAGTTATGAGCGACTTAAATATATCTCTTAGTGAACATACAAGCAAATATATGAAAGCTACGACTGAACTTCAAGATTGTAAAAATGCTCTGCCAGCAAAAATTGCATCTCTTCAACAACAAATTGACATATTACATCAGAGAATAGTAGATCTTGACAAGAAGGAAATTGATATTGGCAACAAAGTTGGTCACCAAGGAAATACTCTTATTCAATGTTTGATTGAAGTGCGAACGTTTGCCAAATCAATTAAAGGTGGAGCATCAGCCTATGGTCCATTAGTTTCTATTCTAAGTGGTACGTTGGCATGGTACTGATTATAATCAGTAATAGTGAGAATATTTATTTTCTGGAGTGAAAGCGATGGGTCAAAATGATGTTGATTTACTGACAAGTACGAGAGCATCAGATGTTTTTCTTGCTGAAAGTCGTCTTCTGCAACAAGTTCAATTACTTTCGAATTATTCATCAACTGCTAATAAAGCTTTGCAATCTTCTGCTCAATATAATTCTCTCGCTAATGCAATTGAATTTAAAACGAAGAAGACACGAGAAAATAACTAGATGGACAATCATTTTTGTTTTATATTCGAAAGATTCAATATTTGTTAAAAAATTAGAAAAAAATTATTAATTGTGAGAAACTACTTCTTAATTATACAATTAATCTCATAGAGAGTAACCGTACGACTGGGAATATCGAAACCGAGAAATCCATTATCGAAACCCCAATCAAGAAACATACCAGTCATAATGAAGGTACGACTGATGCGAGATTGATTCTCTCTAAGCAACTTTGCGACAAAATTAATCTTAATTATACAATAAAGAACAAATTAAAATTTATTTATTCTTTTATATGTGCACTTTAACTCGCTGATAATAAACGAAATTCATTTTTTACTCATGTTTTATTGATCTAGATTAGAAAAAACAATTGCCTAATCTAACATATCCTTAGAAAAACAACAATGAATTACAAATAATCGTACATTTTTTAATATAAAAGTAGACTATACCGATAAAAAATGGATTAAAGAAGAAATTACTTTTTTGTTGTTCTATTGTTATAGATGTTGTATGTATGACAAAAAATCTATATATTGATTTTTTCCGTGTCAAATAAAGTCGATTTAAACCTTTTCAACGGTCATATCAAAATAGTTTTAGGTCGCTATGATTTATTTCGTAGGACTTATGTGTGATACACATCGAGTCAATGGAACTGTATACTCTCATTGTTTGGCCATGACTTTATTGTATTGTCGTTTTCTTTTCTTTCGCTTCTTATATTATAACGGGATAACAAAGTAAGTAGTTCAATGACTGAATGAGTGACTGGTATTTCTTTATAAGATCTAACACTTCGTTAGTAGAGTAAAAACAGATATAATTAACCTGTTTCGTTAGAAAAGAAAAAGCAACAAAACATAAACATATTTTTGTACATACATATGAATGTTTCATACGTCTCTTGTAGATCATATTAAATATTCAAGCGAAAAAATGGATCAAGCTAAACGAAAATCAACTTCATCATATAATTCGGGGTAAAGCTCCACAATATCTTTGCGAATTAGTTCCTACTCCACCTTTTACTACTTATCATCTTCGAAGTCGTACTCGCTTTGATGTTTCTATATCTAGATGAGGACTAGCAGTTTTTGACAAAACGTTTATTCCAGAAACTCTGCGTCTATGGAATGCTCTTGATATCTCCACTCGGTCCATAGTTAATCGACAACGATTCAAATTAGAGTTAATGTATAGGAATGTTTCAAGTCTCCATTTGCCTAGAAAGTAGATCGATCGAATTTAAACGATGCAGACGTTGACAGGTAACTACCGACGAATAGATCTTTTCTGAAAGATTCTGTTGTATTATCGCTCAAGATCAGTGAAAGAAAATTTGAGTAGCGATCAACTTTTCAAGACTGGAGTGAAAAAAAGTGCGAGTTTGTCAATATCCACTCTGACAGAGTGGTGTAATAATACTTTAAATTACTAAGTAAAAGAGTGTTTTTGTATGCATTGGAAAAGTCAAAAGTCACTGATGAAAGCATCGACAATCCATTATCAGTTTTTAAATATTCGATCGATCGAATTACTAGTTGTGCAATGTAAGAATGGCGATATATTTTGTCAAGGACATATACAACAATCTGTGGATTCTGAGATATCGCTTAGAGTTACCCAAAGGAACAGAAATTCAGGATAATGATGTATTCAAATACAGCAGCGACTGGGATTTATTTTTCGGGATTTTTCTATAAAATTCCACTATATAAGTCTGTCCCAACAGAAATGTTAAAAGCCTAATACTGCTTCTCCAAGTCTTTTGATTATCACAGGTTTGCTCAATCTCAGTCGATTCGCGCAAATCTGAATGCCCATTTTAACTTGCTTTTGAGTTAAGTATGTTATTCGGAGTGGATCGTGAAAGTTTAAGTTTCCACAACTTTCCTCACAACTTGTTAGAATTGCAAAACTGGTCGTTTCGAATACTTCGTGTAGATAGTTTGGAAAGAACGTCGAAAAACAAAAACATTTCCAAGATAATCGGCACGCTCGATTAACTATGTTTGCAGTCACGAGGGAACTGCCCCAAGTGTCCGCTCGCTTTTTTCTTGAAACCTAGTGGAGAATAGGTTATCGACTATGCTGATTCCGAATATGACAATGGTTTTGCTGCTAGGCCTTCGAAGACCTGGTTTTCTAGAAAACCAGTTTTTCAGAAACCCCAAAAAATAACCCAAACCTTTCTTAATGGGGCATGATTGTAGCCCGCACATTTTTGATTAAAATGAGACCTCTCCCAACTCTACATGACCTTTCTTTGCAAAGTTATAGAATTTACACGAAGAGCCCTAAATTAATTTCGTCTTATTTCTGTAGCTTTTAGCTGACGATGAACATTTAGGGCTTTTGTTGTAAATTCTATAACTTTGCAAAGAAAGGTCATGTAGAGTTGGGAGAGGTCTCATTTTAATCAGAAATGTACGGGCTACAATCATGCCTCATTAAGAAAGGTTCGAGTTATTTTTTGGGGTTTCTGAAAAGCTGGTTTTCTAGAAAACCAGGTCTTCGAAGGCCTAGCAGCAAAAACCATTGTCATATTCGGAATCAGCATAGTCGATAACCTATTCTCCACTAGGT